TTCAGCTCCCAGCACGTGATGCTCTCCGACGGGCACTCGATCTCCGCCGGCCGCATCCGCCTGAAGTAGCCGGCCATGTGCGGAGGAGGGAGCTCCTCCGACTGCGTCACGGTGACCGCGATGGGACCGGCCCGAGGAGCGACCGCGAGATGGAAGACGATGTGGGTGTGGGTGCTGGCGAAGCGGAGGTTGTTCCCCGCGTGGACGATGAGGTGGAGCAGAACGCTGTCGTCCCTGAGGCCGACGCCCGGCCGGGTCAGGAGGGACACGCTCAGCCTGGAGAGGGATATCCCGTACGTGTTGTGGAAGAGCAGCTTCACGTCCAGTATCTTGGCCGTCGCCGGGAGCAGGAAGCACGGCGCAAAGTGGCCGCCCACCAGCTTCACTTGGAGCTCCGCTGCTACCGCTATTCTGCCGGGGGGCGCCGCCGCCATCGATGTCTTGTCTTGTAGCGTGTGGTTAATTAGGTGCGGATACGATCAATACTACTTTGTGGGTTGAATGCATGCAGATCGAGCACATATATGGTGCCAAGTCAAGTCATGCGGAAAGTGGGACGAATGTGATCAAAATCTGTATTCACCATTTAAGTATGAGTCATTTCAGTTGCCCAATGATATTATCGTTTCACATTAGGGTGGCTATACGGTTCGGTCCGGTTAAATTGGCCCAAATTGATCCGATCCAGTCCGGTTTTTTTGAAAATATAAGGACCGAAGATTGGATTGGATACAGTCCGGTCTTGATCCAGTCCGGTCTTGACCCGGTCCGGTCTTGATCCGGTCCGGTCTTGACCCGGTCCGGTCCCAATTCGGTCTTGATAAATTTATATTGAGATTGTGGGAATTTGAGTGGCCAAAGGCCTAAAAGGGTGAGGAGTTGGTTAAGTTTTGTACTAAGTGCAAAGGTTTGTGACCGTTTATGCAAATTACCCTTAAGTTTTGGGTGTTGAGCTCTCTTATCCGGTCTTTATCCGGTTTTTTACCTCAAATCTAAGCCCAAAGATTGGATTGGATTGTTTACTATCCGGTCCCGATCCGGTCTCGGTCCGGATTATACGGTCCGGTTTCCGGTTTTTCATTCGGTCCCGGTCCAAATAGCCAGCCCTATTTCACATCACTGCACACCACCCTCTAGTTGTTGTAACACTTTTGTGTTTTCAGGTTAGCGGGCACGCAGTACAGAAGTTATGTGTTTCTCGTTTTGCCCAACCTAGTTATTCTGCTAATTTGAAAATTTGTTAGTTATATACTAACTAATATCCAAAATGTTATGAACTAGTATCCAAGTCTACAGATTTTACTAAAGTATCTAGAGAGCACAAACTAGTATCCAGATAGCAGATACCAACTAATATCCACAATCAACCAACTAGTATTCAATATGGATACTCTTATGTGTTATCTGGATATTAATTATGTGTTGAATGGATACTATTATGTGTTGTCTAGATATTAATTTGTGAATTTTGGATAATAGTTGATTTGTGGTGGATATCAGTTAGCAAACCTTGAATACTAGTCTGTGCTCTATAGATACTTTAATACCTGGATACTAGTTCATGTATTTTGGATATCATTTAGTATCTGCTAACGAATCTTCAAGTTAGCATATTAACTTTCCCCCGTTTTGCCGGTGTTTAATTTCTTTCTACGGTTCGATCACTTCGACAATATAAAACTTCTTTCATTCACAATGTTGACAAGTGTAATAGTAAACATGAAAACGTTTTTTCCTTTTCTTCTACTAATTTTTAATCCAATGGTATCTCCTTTCTTCTGATTTTCATTTCTTAAAATAATTATAAACTTAATATATTTCAAATGGTAATGATGGGTATACTCCAGGGAGTATACCATACTCCACGTGATTTGACCGTTAGATGCACTTCGATGAGCTCTGACTAATTTCAACGGTCAATTATTATTTTCTATTAAATTGAACTTCGGTTTTGAGTTTAGATAATCAGGGTTTGGGGTTTATTCGTTCCAGATTAGGGTATAGTATCATACCCTAAACTCGGTTTTATTCATGGCCTAGGTAGAGATATCTCACTACGAGTACCTGGAGTATTGGTAGCTTAAATTTTTTTTATTATTATGACACTTTTGTACCTAAACTTTCTAAATTTGACATATTGGTCTAACATTTAGATGTCACTTGGATCCATGATCTAATCCCTTAATCAAAAATCACTAGGGAAAAACCCACCAATCCATGAATCCAATCTATTTGCCACATCTAATCATCATGCATAATCTTCAGTGTTCCACGAAATATTGTGGTAAAATGTCTCGATTAACGTGTTCTTATGAGAAATGACTGTTAGAGAGTGGTATAAGATTCAACATAACCTTCTCCCAACAACTCGAGTTATTGGAAGCAACTGGTTCATGACATGGTATCAGAGCTGGTTTGGCCAAGTGGTCGTGTGTTCGAATCTCCATGACCCCCAGAATTAACAGTTGTCTTCAAGCACAGCCCGTAGTTTGGTGTTGTGTTTTAGCGAGTCGCTTATAATGCAAAAGGATAAATCTGTTGGTTTGTGGGAAACGAAGTGCAAGAGTCACTAATGTGGGGACTAGCTCAATGGTCATGCAACTAGCCCCCCTACTAACTCAATCCGCTTAGCCAATGTCATCTCGATCAGGTTCATGAACTAGGGATAGTGTCTATTCACTTTCAATATGTTGCACCTATTTGCAGACTAGTTTGATATGTCAAAGGTCACGCACATATCACCCTAGCATTACCTAGGTGAGCATTCCAACTGGCAGGGGATGGTTACCTCGACCACCAGTGGGGCCCCTAGATCATTCATCTATAGTAACATGCCAAACTGCTCAAATCGACAACCATCTCATGCAAACCCTAACTAATCAATCATGAAAAGCATATGAAGAGACAGGTTCAAAGCATAATCAACATAAGTAAATGCATATTAACACTAGGTAAACTCATTTCATTCACAAATCCTAACAAAATTCTTTCTACGTAATAAAACCTAAATCTGGGGTTTGGGTATTAAACCTCTAGTACCTTGAGTAACTACTCCATAAAGGGGGAAGAAGATTCATGAAAGAATAGGAAAGAAAACTACAGATGATTGGCGAGAAATCCCTTCCTTCTTGGCTCCTTCTTCTTCTTCGCCTTCTCTACTTCTCCTTCCTTCAGCTTCTCTCTCTAACCTCTCTTTAAAACCAATAATTTTATAAGTGTTTTCAGCTCTCTTGTAAAGGGGAAGGAGTACTCTATTTATAGACTTCAGGAGGACATGCAAGTTCGTGGTTGAGGGATAGGAGATCGCACGCATGAACTTCGGATGTGAGGTGGCAATCTTGAAACACACCATTTTTGCTCTAGCAGGCTTGGGAGTTCGCGGCCTGACTTCACGATCGCGATCCGTAAGTCTCAGCCGCGATCTTTCTCTCAGTCTTGGATAACTAAGGCTGCGAGTGGACTATCGAAACTCTATGTCCATTCCTTGGTGACTGCTTCATCAAATTCACGGCTGACACTCCCAGATCACATACGCGATCTTTTGTCCAGTGGTCGCGATCACTTTACGCCTCTTCTTCTCGGTCGTGATCTCCTTGTTTTGCTCCTTTTCCTACACTTGTGACCTCTTTTGTGCCTAAAATGCAAGTATCATCTAATACACCCTAAAATTAAATATATTACTTTGAGAAACGGATTCGGGTGCATTGATGAAATATTAACCATTGCGACCATATAATGACCTGAAAAGACCTAAAATATAGAGGCTAAATAACACTATTTTGGGTGTTATCAACCGTACTACCAAGGTTGTCAACCCACTAGTTGACCCACTACAAGGTTACCGGGTTGGAGGTTACACGACATCGTTTTTCTTTGCATTGCGAAATGAGGCTCTTTTTCGGTTTTCCTTTTCGCCTAACTCTATTTTGGAATTATAAGTTGAACATCTAAATATTGATGTTATATAAGTGTGTGAATTCTTACTATATATTGGATCCAAGTACGATTTATTATTTTGGTGTAATGTTATATGTTATTGATTTGATATAATTTATAAATGTATAAACAATATATAGATTTTTTTTTACATATCAGTACAAAACCAATTTAAAAAGGTCGGACTATTAACTCTCAACCTGCTTTCTCCACCTGGCAAATAGGGGTGGGCATACGGTGGGGTAAAACCGAACAGAACCGAATATAAACCGAACCGAAACCGAATTAATGTTATTCGGTTCGGAATAGAAAAAGGCATATTTCGGAAACCAGGGTTCTTTCGACCGAACCGAATTTCCGAATTTCCGAACCGAAAAACTGAATTATTATAATTTCAAATGATGGATTTTTATGTTTCTACTTATCATGAGACTTAAATATTTGAATCATTTGAGTGTTTTATGACTTATGTGTTGAAATGTTTGATTTTATCATTGATGATGCATATTTATTGTTTACATTAGGGGTGAAAAATAATTTAAAAGTGAGAAGATACAAGTTAACCTCACAAGTTTGATTTTACATGAAAAATCGAACCGAACCAAATTATAATTTGGTTCGAACAGACCGAACCGAATTATAATTTGGTTCAAATTCGGTTGTGAGTTTTGATAAAATTCGGGGACCCGGTATGTATAATTTCGGTTCGGTTTGAACCGAACCGACCGAATGCCCCACGGGCAAAGACAAGTCCAACAACCTTGGGTACTACTCTGAATTTAACCCTGTGTTTCGTACGTAAATAAGACGAAAAGGAGGCAGTGGGGGCAATTGCTGAATTGACTCGTCATCAAAGCGGATGTCAACGTAAATCAAAGGCTACAATCACAGATTAACCCCATCTAACGGCGCATATCGACACCCCCCAATTCCAAAGCGAAAATTCTTGGAGATTAAAAGCGAACTAATCATCCAATCCTCATTCCTCCACATCGTTCATTCTTAGCAGTATAGCAACAAAGCGAGAGAGAGAGAGTTGTGTCAAATTCCTCCCGTCCCGTCAAATGGCGTCGACTTCGAGGCATGTTTCGGTCGTCTTCCTCCTTCTCGCCGTCCTGATCGGGTTCCTCTCCGCCTCCGTCTCCGCCGGAAGGCCCTGTAAGACTCTCTTCATCTCCTCCTACACCGTCTCCCTCAAGCCTCTCCACTCCTTCCGCTACCCTAACCCTAATTTCGGTCGTCGCTCGGCGGGATTCGTGGCAATCGTCACCGAAATCGGCCATCAGAGCTCCTCGGAGTCCTCGTCCAACATGATCAGCGACCGCGCCGTCTTCCCTGGCCTCGAATTCGGGAATCACGTCGCTGCTGGTGGCTCGCGATTCGTCCACCGGCGGGAGCGGCAGCAAGAGGATCAGCTGGGCTTCGCCCGTCTCCACCCCTTCGGGCTTTCATCCCACGAAATCAGCTCCCTCCGAGACCGTACTAAGGATATCCTAAGCGTGGTTGTGGCTCTGCTCTTTGGCGTGGGCTGTGGAGCTCTCACTGCCGCCACCATGTACCTGGTCTGGTCGCTCTTTGCCGTCCGCTCTGCTGCCTACTACGACGAATTGTACGACGATGATGAGGAAGAGGAAGAAGTTGCGTCGCCTAAGAAGATGGGTTATGTTAAAATCCCCGAAGCTGAGAAAGTGGCTGCCCCTGCTAAAGCTGTGGTATGAAGAAACAACAACAACGGGGGGTGTTTCTGTTTCCCATATGTTTCAAGTAATTTGCAGTCTTGCTAGAATGATCTTCGAGCGTATTTCTGTTTCCCTTCAGCTTTTATATAGTATTATATTATGTTAAAAGCTATCTATGCCTTGTCACTAATGTTGTCGATCAGCCATTCTCTCTGTTGCTGCTGCTGCTGATAGAAAGATGGAACCTACTTGTGACATTTACTGCCATTGTCATGAATGTTAATTTCTGTTTGTTTTGCTGATCTGTTACACTCTTAATCTGATTCCCCATTTTGTCTAGCTTCCTCTTGGACTGAGGCCTTAGATTGAGTGAGTTAGCATGGTTGCAGTGGTTATCATTTCAGTCTCCGGTAGTTTGATTTCTCTGTAGAGCATGTATGGGATTGGAATGAGTATTGGGCTGATGTGCATTGGTAGAATGTTTTGTATTTCCTTCTTCCCTCGAGATGGATTGGCTTGACTTGACTTGACTACAGTGACCTCTTCAAATGTGTTATGGTGAATGTATTCCTTTGTTCAAATTGTGAAGGTTTAACTTGTGTTTTTTTTATTGAGTGAGGTAGTTGATTCGAGTGTTCTTCTGTCTGTGATCCAGAAATAAGCATTAGGTAGGAGGAAGATAGATTGGCACCCTGGCTGTAAGCGAGCGGGCATCTGGATTTTGCGTACAAGGTTCGCCGTGCCCTGCAAGAAAGGCCATAGTAGCCTTGTCGTGTTTTACTGTCTGTCATTTTGATCTTGTTCACAGTTTTTGCAGAATGAATGAATGAATGGATCATTGTCTTGCTTAACTTGTATCTTGCTTGCTATATATGGCCTGCATTCGTAGTTGTTAGTGAAAACGGCAGATTCGTCTGCTTCTGAGATCCCAACAAGAGCTTCAGAGGACGATAGAATTTGTAGCTGTTAAAAGACGAACTACTGGAAGCTTTGATTAGAATTGACTTTCTATACATGGAATGGAAGCAACCATCCGAGAAATCACTTTCTATGAATACATTTTTTTACTTACATGCATTTTTTAATTCATTTTGAAATGAAATTAGGTATTTAATAGAATTCATTTTAAACATAATTGAAGTTAGTTCGAGCCATTCCAGGGAATTGAAATAGAATTTTCAAATAAATCTTACAAGTATTTTACTATTTTTAATAAAACAAATGTGCACATTTATTGGGAGTGGATGATGGTTAAAAAAAGAGAACGAGAATCCTCTCTCGCCCGCCGTTCCTGGGGTTGGTGCTGCCGCTATTACTCGAATCGGGAGGATTCATGTATCGGAGTTGTCTCTGATTCCCCCACTTCAAGCTCGGGAGATTGAAATTGTGGAGCGGCAGTTTTGATCTCTCCGTCCCCATCGCCACACCACCACCATTACCGTCACCGTTGTCTGCTCGTCGTCTCACTGACTCTTCTCCCCTCCCACCAATATACACCATTGAACGGCCAGAACCAGAGCTTAGTTCACGAGCTCCCCCACCTTCCTCTCTCTCTCTCTCTCTCTCTCTCTCTCTTCGGAACCCACCGCCGGCGATCAAGAGTTGTTGTTTTCTCTCTCTATTTTGATTTTTGTTTATGCGTAGAGGTTTGGAAAGCGCCGGGAAGAGGTTGGAAGATGGAATTTTAACATATATACACAAAAGGGCAAAGAGCAGTGAGATCGGGGGCGGTTCTAACGTTCGGGTGAAAGGAGAAATTGTGGGGCAGCTGAAGAAGGAGTAGAGGCCGAGACGGAGACGGAGGCGGAGGAAGAGAGAGGATGAGTAGAAGAAAAAGGTTGGGGCTGTTTGACTGCCACGTCATTCATTTAACGGTCAACTTTGAGAGTTGACTGTCACATCACACAAAGTTAACAGAGTTTGACAGAGAGTGACCAAACTTGAATTGTTTTATTAAATCTAGTGATTATGAATGGATTTAAATATTTTGAGTGACCAAACATATGAATGTTTTTCGTAATCTCAGTAACCAACCATGCAATTAATCCAATTTTCCTTCTTTGCTCTCATTTGGATTTTCGATTTTCCTTTGCATGCAAATTTTAGGCCAAAGAGTTTCTGGGCTTCGAGTGTTGAATTCGGTGTTAACTGTGATGCATATTATTCTAGCAAATTTCGATAAATCTGGGATTTCAATCTTCTAATTCCTTTCCCCGTCCCTCTTCTGTGAAGCTGAGTGATTATGTGGGTTGTTTAAATGATATTTAATGATTCTTCAGTAGGTTGTCCATCCAATCTGTGATTTCTCATTGTAGGTGGGCCGGGCCGTCCACGGGCTAGCACGGCACGACACGGTTAGAGCACGATACGAGTACGGACATGAAATAAATGGGTCAGCCCGGCACGAGCACGAATAATTATGGGTTGTGTCGGGTCTAAACTTCATGAGCACGACACGGTATATAAGTGGGCATGTTGGGCCTAATATTTTTGAGATTTTATTGAGTATAAGAACGGACATGGCACAAAAATAACATTTATTTGATAGAAAATAAATATAGAAAGAATTATAGGTTCAAATATTACAAAATACAAGTAGAAAATAATTATTTGTTGTTGTTAGAAGTGTCATAAAGATATATACATAATTACTACCATAACTCCATAAGTAAAAATGGACGAAGAATTAAACAAAGTCAAATCACACCCGCTATATACTTCCAATTTTCTTTTCCCCTTATTTGTTACTTTTCTCAAACATTATCGGTTAATACTATCTTTCTCCGTCCAATTTTTCACCTTCTTTTTCATTCTCTCTTTTATTTCTTCCTTTTCATTAGACACGAATACGAGCATGACACGGGCACGAATAGGCACCGCACAATTCAAACCGTGCTCGGGCCTGGGTCGGGCCTAGCAAAGTTAACAAATGGGCTTTCACGGCACGGCACGAAAACTAACTGGCCGTGCCAAGAACGACACGAAAACTGACGGGTCGTGCCAAGCACGACATGAAATAAATGGGCCCGAAACGTGCCAGTGTCGTGCTGGCCCAAGCACGGCCCATCGCCCATGTACATGTCTCATAAATAAAAACAAATTTCTAGCATAAAACAGGATTTAATTCGGCTGCACTCACCACTTCCCGGGGTAAAATACCTCGGGTTTCACTAAAGTATGAGAATTGTCAATTGAGAGAGCTATATCATTTAATTAAAAATAGGACATCGCCTACCACTGAACTCTATTATATGTGCACTCACCACTAAGTTTACTGCTAAGTGCATTGTGTTAAAGTTGACAGAATTTTCTTGGAATATTCCATTTTCTAAATTTCATAATTGGTTCTTCTACTTTTCTTATTGTAAAAAAACAATTTGGACTTATGAAAAACATAATTTTTTATTGTTTAATTGGAATCCTCTTTTGAATACTTGATACCAAATTAATGTTTGAATAGAAAATTTAGAATCAGTTATAATTATAAGTATTTTCAATTATCATTATGTGTTCCTATAATTGAATAATTTCATAAAACAAATATATCTTATGAATTCTATCTCGATGTAAATAATCTGAGAATGCTATGTTTGGTTCTCTTACATCATGGTGATGTCTAATTTTCTATGTTAAATCTCCTTTTTAATTCTCTAATATTATATTGTAGATGTTTCATATTAGTTAAATTTAGTAATTATAATTATTTTCCAATAGTTATATTTTCTTTTCTAAAATTTTTACTGAATGTTGTAGCTTTTATAGTTCATTTATTACTTGATTACTTTCCATCTCTTTTCATTCTAATTTTTTTTTCAATTACTGAAATATGTTTTATTCCTTATGTTGTGTTCCGTTTATCTTTCTTTGGTTTTGATGTATTGATGATTGATTAGGTTCTATTTTAACTAATTTTAATGGTGCTTTTAATTGAATTATGGCGTTTAAATATATATTATAATATTAATTTTAAATTTTTATTATTATATTCTACTATGTTTATTATTTTTCTTAATATTCATTTAATAGTTTTACTAATTTATCTATTTTATTGAAAAATTTTGATTAGCCATTTTAGTAATAATTGTTTAGAAGGTTTTCTAATTTTTATATTAGATAAACTTGTTGAAATATAGTTTTGAATGTTTTTAAAAGTTTTGGGTACCAAAAAGTAATTAAAAGTTTGGGTTGAATGGAAAAGTAGACGGATGCACATTTTGTCGACTTTAAAGGTACTCTACACTCAATTCAAATTTAAGTGGTATATCTACCCTAATTCTTAAACTTAAATGGTACCTAAGGTATTTTACCTCACGCTAAAAACAACATATTGGGGAATGGAAAGGGGTAGAAAGAGGACAATGGCAAGACTGTAAAATGGAAAATGATGGAAAGGTTTTTCAGTCTCTTTAGACACGTGTCACTCTCTCCGTCCGTCATTTCAGCTTTAAACCTTGTTGTTTGTTTCATGAATCTGAAAATGAGAGTTTTGGTGAAATTCGGATTTTAGAAAACCATGGATATATGATGAATTTGGTAGCATTATCGACTTGAACAAATCTATTGTTTGCTTGTTGAATTTAATTATGGATTTTATTTAATTAAATTTGTGGATATAAAATACAAATTACCTCATAAAGCGGAAACTGTATTACCCTTCCCAAAACGCCATTACTACAATCACATGAGAGTTGCAACTCGGAAACCTGTCCCATTCTTGTAGTAATGAACGTTTTCTGAGCCATTCAAGCACATGACAGTTCATCACTAACTCCCAACCATGCTCACAAACATGGTTACACATTGTCTCTCTCTCAACAGAATCACCATCCAAGTCAATCAACCAAAATGAGAGAAAGTACCCATTCATTCAAGCGTTTGCATTTCTTAACAAAGAAAGCAGTTGAGTAAAGAACGCAACCAGATCTAATGAATTAGATTCATCCTCCAGCTTAGTTGCAGTCCTCTAAACCCTAACTGCTCAATAGCTCTTACGGTGCTTGTATTGAAATGGAGAGCAGGAAAAAAAAATGATTCCACGA